TCTTTCTTTCTTATCATGTCCATGCTCTCTTCGCAACCATCTTTTCATTCTTTCTTTTTGACCTCTTTTCATTCATTCATTCTTCCTTTTTTTTCTTTCTTTCTTTCTTTCTTTCTTTTTTTTTTCTTTCTTTATTTCTTTTTCTTTCTTTCTTTTTTTTTCTTTCTTTCTTATCATGTTCATCCTCTCTTCGCAACCATCTTTTCATTTTTTCTTTTTTGACCTCTTTTCATTCATTCTTCCTTTTACTTTCTTTCTTTCTTTATTTCTTTCTTTCATCCATCTTTTCATTCTTTCCTTTTCACCTCTTTTCATTCATTCATTTATCCATTCTTCCTTCTTTCTTTCTTTCTTTCTTTCTTTCTGCCCATCCTCTCTTCGCAACCATTTTTCATTCTTCCTTTTTGACTTCTTTTCGTTCCTTCATTCATTCTTCCATGCCTTGTTTCTTTTTTTCTTTCTTTTTCTAATTATGCATCGATTTTCTCTATTTTCAACCAATTTTTCTTCTTCTTTGACCTCTTTTTATTCTTTCTTTCTTTCTTTCTTTTTTTTCCTTCCATTTTTGACCTCTTTTCACTTTTTCATTCATTCTTTCTTTCTTTTGATTTGTGCAATTCATTTTTATTCCTTTCTTTTTTTTTGCCTCAAATCTTAACCTAACCTCTCTTTTCTTTTACTTCATTTACGATAAAAAAAAAATAAAGTCCTCGAAATTTATCACAAATCCAGCATCGTTGCCATTTCTATGTACCGCGTCCCTTAAAGACATTCGTGATTATGGATCTCAACAATTTCCTGTCCTTTGTAGCTCTTAAATTATTTTTTATCATTTTCCCGTCTCCATTCACTCAAACTCGCTAGGTAGGCTATGCGTTGCTTAACTCTGTCTCTTTTATCGTTCATTACCATATTTCTCTTGCCCTCTTTCCTAATTATATACCCAAGAAATGTCAACCCTATCTTACTGTTGTTAGTTTTATGTCTTTATTTTTGTCATTGTCTTTAGAATTTCATCGTTACTCAAATGTACAGTCCATGATATTTTCAGTATTATCCATAAACGTTTCTTCCTGTTTTCTGGACCTTGATACACATTGTCCGCTACTACAACAATTCGACTAAGCCAATGTGTTGTCCGGGCCCTGAATAAATTAGAGAGACTCATTTAAATAATTCATATTCTCATTAATCAATTCATCGGGAGACAATACGACCATATAAAAATTAAATCTATCTTCTCAGAGGCAATAGAATTTGGTCCGGTGATTCATTTTGAGTGATGTAGCCTATGTAACAACTTATTTACACTGAAGTGCCTTTTACAGAATCGAGAGTCATTAAGATCGGCTATCACTTCCCATCGCAAAGCAATCTTGATTCCAAGGACTTCATCATTATACTTGTCTGGTTCGTCGTCTTGGATTCCATCATTAAATATAAATAAACAAACACCTTCCGGTTTCACCATTACTTTGTATTTCTTGGAATGGTTCCGGTGTTATATTTCCTTTCTTTTCTTTTTTTTCTTTCTTTTCTGTCACTATTTTCTTTTATTCTTCCTTTTTATTTTCCTATTTATTATTTTTTAATTTCCTTTTTTTTCCCATTTCCTTCTTTTTTCCTCTTCTTTTTCTTCCTTATTTCTTTCTTTCTTGCTTTTCCGATATTTTTCCTTTGCATTTTCTCCTTCCTTTCTATTTTTCGTTTTAATTTTTTAATTTCCTTCTTTTGCATTTTTCCTTCTTCGTCTTCTTCTTCCTTATTTCTTTCTTTCTTCCTTCTTTTTCTGTACTATTTTTTTTATTTCCTTCTTTCTTCTTTACCAATTTTTTCTTCTTCTTCCACTTTTTCTCATTTTTCTTGTTCTTCCTTTTTTCTTCTCCTTGCTCCTTTTCTTCTTCTTCTTTTCCTTCTTCCTCCCATTTTTCTCCTACTTCATTTGCTTGTTCTTTTTACCTCTTTTTTCTTCTTTTTCTGTTTCTTTTTCTTTCTTTCTTTCTTCTTTCTCTACTTCTTTTTCTTCTTCTTCTTCTTCCATTTTTTCTTCTTCATCTTCCACTTCTTCACTTTCTTTCTCTTTCATTTTTTTCTTTTTCTTCTTTTTGATATGTTCATTACTCCTTGTTCCTCATCTTCTCAATTCATTTTCCTTCCCATATATTTATTTGTCGATTTATTGTTGTCCACACCTCCTTTTCTTTCTGTTTCTGATCTATTTCTTCTTCTTCTTCTTCTTCTACTACTACTACTACTACTACTACTACTACCTTCCAATCCTTCTCCTCCTAATTCTCCTTTCTTCTTTTTTTTTCTTGTTCTTCTTCTTCTAATCCTTCTCCTCCTACTGCTTTTCTTCTTCTTCTTCTTCTTCTTCTTCTTCTAATCCTTCTCCTCCTCCTCCTTCTTCTTCTTCTTTATCATCCTCATCCTCATCATCATCATATATTATATATTTACATTCTATCTTCAGATTACCATTTTTCTTCTTTTCAACATCCTTCTTTATTCATTTCTATTTCTTTTTTAAGATCTTGTCCGACTTCGTCTGTGTTTGGATTATCTTCTTTCATTTTTCCTTCTTTTTCTCATTTTTCAGATTCCTTGAATTTCTTTTCTTTCTTCATCATCATCGTCATCGTCGTCGTCGTCATCATCATCATCATCATAATTAAATCCTTCTCCTTCTTATTTGTCCTCTTTTTGTCTTCTTCTTCTTCTTCTTCTTCTTCTTCTTCTTCATTTTTAACCTTTCCTCCTATCGGTTTTCTTTTTCATTTTTTTCATTTGTTTACTTTTTACATTTCATCATCATCATCATCATCATCATCATCATCATCATCATCATCATCATCATCATCATCGCCGTCGTCGTCATCATCATCATTCTCTCATTTTTTTTATCTTCATCTCCTTCTTCGTCAATCTTAATTTTTCTCTTCCTTCTCATTTACTTTCATCATCATCGTCATCATCAAATCCTCCTGCTTCTTGTTCTTAGTCTTCTTCCCCTTCGCTTTTTCACTTTCCTTTCTTTTCACCTACCCTTCTGTCTTAATTTTTTTTATTTTTCATTTTACCAATTGTTTACGTTTTACATATCATCGGCATCATTATCAGGATCCTCATTATCTACTCGTTTTTTTCATGTAGAACTCCTTCTTTGTCTATCTTAATTTTCCTCTTCTTTCTCATTTTACTTTTTGTCGTCGTCCTTGTCATCATCATCATCGCTTTCATCATTGCACATTCATTTTTTTTTATTTCTTTACGTTTACCTCTTTTCATTTAACAATATTGATTATTTCTTTCCTTCTTCTTCTTCGTCTTCTTCTTCTTCTTTGTCTTCTTCGTCTTCTTCTTCATCTTATTTCCTTTCTATCTTCATCGTCTTCGTTTCTTCACTCTACTTTACTTTCTGCGTCTGCATCCTCCTTCTCCTGTCAGTGGATTCTTATTTTCCCTTTTTTATCTTTATTCTTTTTCTTCACCATCATCTTTTTCTTCTTTTTCTTGTTCGTTTATATGCACGAACTTTATTCTTTTTCTCCCTCTTTTCTTTTCTACATTGTTTTCTTTATCGGTTCACACCCGATTCTTTCTTTCTTTCTTTCTTTTGCCTTTTGCTTTCCTTCTAATTCTCGCCTCTCTTTCTAACCCTACCTTCATTTCATTCTATTTCTACCACTCCCCTTTTCTTCCCTCTTCTCTATCAACTCTCAAAAACACTCTCTCCTTCTCACACGCTAACATACATCCTATCTCTCTTTCTATTTCCGCTTCGCCGCCCCTCGTCATGATAATTCCCGAGATCTCTTCATTTCAGTCCAAATCTCGTTGCCCATAATTCTTCTTTTTCGCTCCTGCGTTCGTTCCTCTTTTTATCTCCTTCACTTTATTAAGATGTCCATCGACACCATTTCACCTTTATACCTTGTTGGTTCATCTCGTTCCATCTCTAATTACGAAGTGCGGTATTATTACCCTGGACGGGTCGTTAGAGCGAGCAGAGATGAATGGCCCAAGCTCGGATCTTTACGGTCGCTGTCATGGCTGACAAAGTCGCAGGCAATACGTGCTGTCACTGAACAAGCTTAGTTAGCCTTCTACGGTAAACTTGGTCAGCTGAAGAATCAGTGGGGCGTACCGGCTAATAGTGGCCCGACCCCGACAAAGTGGGATGCCGTACGAAGCTATTGGAGAAAGGAAATAGAGATTAGGTGCGGGGGTAACCAAACAAAGGGAGAATAAGTCCAAAAGAAAGGAGAAAGAGAAAAGAATAACTTAGAGAGAAAGGGAGAGATAGAGAGAGAGTTGGAGAGAGACTGCATGCAAAATAAAATAAGAAGGAAATTTAAAAGATGCGCCAGTCAAAGATAGAAAGTGCAGACAGGCAGAAAGAAGGAAAGAATTCTAAGATGTTAAGAATAGCGTCGCATATAATGTGGATACTACATAAATAGACTGAAATAGGGAAAATATTCTTGGAAATAATTTAGATTTTTTTGTAACCAAATAAATGGTTAAGTAATATCAAAAAACAAGTTTGCAGATATATCGTATATTAAACAGAAAGTGCACCAGGAGAGTATTACACGACTAGTGAGAGTGTATCGAATGAACTAGCGCTCAATCTGTTCACTGTTCACTGTTCACCGAACCTTCTCTCTTACTAAATTTATAGTAGGCGGAAAAGTCTAACACAGATTCTTAAGAGGGAGGACACCATATCAACCTGGCATTTCGGCTTCAGACAATTTCATAGCGGGATTTCCCTGGGTCTTTTTCATAAATATTTTTATGATATTGGTTCTTATCAAATTTCCTTTATGGTATGAAGATTTATGAATTTAAACGCAATAAGAGATGAGCAAAAAGGTCTCATCATTTTATGGTTCAAATAGCTATTGTAACCGTAAGTTCTATACTTAGAGTCCTTCACGCTTGTGGAACTCTCTTTCTGCTTCCTTCTTTCATGCCAAATTTGATTTTCAAAAATGTAATTGCCACGTCAATCGTTTTCTACTGTTTTCATAATTCCTGTGCATTTATATTGTCTCTCTTAATAATTTGTCTTTTCTTTTATTCTTTTTTATTATATATATATATATATATATATATATATATATATATATATATATATATATATATATTATATTTAGGGCAGCAATCCTCCCTTTATGCATGTTTCATTAAAAACGACCGACAAGGTACTACGGTTGAGCTTTTTATTTAATTTTTCTTGTGTGTGTGTAAGAACTGTCCGAATGTTTTGTATATCTGATCACAGCTGATCAGAACACATATAAACACACACTCAGATTTACCCGACACTATTAAGAACATACTAGTAGAAAACACAAATATATTAACTGCATCCACTTGCAAAAAAAGACTAAAAATAATGGAAGCTCTAATAATAAAAAAGAAAAAGCCAACTCTTAACAATATTAACTATGAACAAAGCCATAATGTGCTAACCGTATTTGGAAATTAAAAACGTCACTACCACACACTGAACATACACAGAATGCACACACTCTACTAAGCTGATAATCAAATCATCCTTGATAATGGCTAAAGGTATAGCCGAAAGCGCTCGGAAATACAAAACATTCGGACAGTTCTTACACCCTTTGTCCAGAAAAGCGCTTGTCAGAACACATGAAAAATGAAATAAAAAGCTCAACCGTAGTACCTTGTTGGTCATTTTTTAATGAAACATATATATATATATATATATATATATATATATATATATATATATATATATATATATATATATATATAGGGGGGTGGAGAAGAGGATTCATATCTGGGTAAATAGCTCGTCAGGCTGGAAGCTGGCTGGTCTACCGCAGAAACAAATGGCAGGAAAAATATCATATATATAGGTATATATTTATGCATATATATATTTATATATGTTGTGACCAAGTAAATGGTTAAGTAATAACAAAAAATAGGTTTGCAGATATATAGTATATTAAACAGTAAGTACACCAGAAGTGTATTATATATGTATTTTATATATATATATATATATATATATATATATATATATATATATATATATATATATATATATAATTATTATATGTCTTTTCTATTATTTTTTTCATGGTATCTACTCTGACGAGATATTTTCGCTGGTGCCCCGACTACATGCTACTAATTTGGAATCTCAGTTCCAATATTTTACTATTGAAACAGTTAAATGTAACAGCTCCTTCTACTCAACGAGATTATCTCACACTTCCCGACCGTGAAACTTCCTTCCTCTTATTGCTTCCCTGATAAATATAATCTTCAAAGATTTAAATCTAATGTCAATCGATAGCTTGATCCCCGGTCTTCTTTTTATCCTTTCCTCAATCGCCCCTATAGCCAGACATTTCCCTTATTTTCACTCCCTTGCTTGGGGTGAAATGTTTAAAAAATTCATTCACATATAGAAGGACCGTTATTACGTAACATTAAGGTACCCTATTCTTTATTTCTTAGAACAATTTTATGTTACATAATACTTTGTTTAAGCCCATGCTATCTGGAATATAAAGTATCACCAACAAAGGAGATATGCCTAAATAAATAAAGGAACTAGCAGAAGAAAAGACACGCTCGTCGATAGGCTGAATAAAATCCAAGGACAAAACGTTCATATTAAAGAAGAAAAAAAAAACTTCAGCGCTGGAACGAATGTATTGGAGATCTCTTTCACCACGAAATAGAACAACAGGCATAAAATTATGGACGGACCTGAAATTCTAAAATCCGAAATAGAATCTGCATTGGACAAACTGAAGAGAAACAAAGCGGTAAGGCCAGATGGAATTGTAACAGATATGCTGAAAGCCTTAGATGATTTTGGCATAGAACATATTACGGAAATAATAAATCAAAAATAAAATGCTGGGAATATTCCGGAAGATCTATTTTCATAGCACTGTCTAAGAAACCAGGCACAAACGCACGTGAACTCCACCGAACAATCAGCCTAATGAGCCACGTGACAAAACTCATCATCCGTATACTGATGAAGAGAGCGCGCAGCAGAATCAGGCCAGAGATAGGACAAGAACAGTGCGGGTTCGTTAAAGACACCGGAACAAGGAACGCAATATTCATGCTCAGAATATTATCAGAAAGAGCAATACAAATGCAGAAGGACGTGCACCTCTGTTATATAAACTACGTAAAGGCGTTCGACAAAGTATGTCACAAAGATCTGTTGGATGTTGGTTGGGTTTTATGGGATATCAACTACTGTAGGTCATGTAATGCCAAATTAAGTTATATTTGGTTGGATAGATGTGAGTTTGTGACCCTGGGTTTCACGCTTTGAGATCGTCAGACAAAGCGTGAAACACACACATATATATATATATTATAGCGCTTTCTAATAATATATAATATATAAATAGTATATATATATATACTATATATCTATATATTATATCGCTTTCTAATAAATACCACATATATAATATATAAATAATTATATATATATATATATATATTTATTTATATTTATATACACTTTTCACACACACACACACACACATTGCCATACATATTATGGGTTTTGTAAAATTATGATAGGGAAAAATTATTATTAATATAATAAACACACACACACACACACACACTATCTAACCAAATATGTTAGCTCTATATATATATATATATATAAATATTATATATATATATATTTATATATATATATATATATATATATATATATATATGTGTGTGTGTGTGTGTGTGTATAGTACTATTAAACGTATAGCTGGCAATATTACTCCTTCAGAAACGTTTAGCTGGCAACATTATTTTTCCGAAAACATTATCTGAGGCCTGCTGTTGGACGTAGTTTATCATCATACCCAGGACACGGATGTAGTTTATCGCCATACCCAGGACGCGGATCTAGTTTATCGTCATACCCAGGACGCGGATCTAGTTTATTGTCATACCCAGGACGTGGGTAAGATCTGGAAAAAACTAGGAGTTCACTATTTGCCCATAGCCGGGACCCTAACAGGTGCTACCACCCCGGGTCAGGTTGGAGCTGGGAACACCAGCAATTAAGAGGTGGTTCCACGCTCCTCAAAACCTCCTGATCAGTGGCCTTGCTGTTGGATGCAGTTTAACGTCATAGACAGGACGGAGATCTGTTGGAACTGCTCGGCAACCTTGATATATTTGGGAAATATATTAGAATAATCTAGGACCTATACTGGCAGAAAACGGCACGCATGCGGAATAATATGTGTTCATATATATATATATATATATATATATATATATATATATACAAAAATAAAGAAAGGGACGTAATGCAAGAATGTGTCTTCTCACCGGAATTATTCAACCTATGTAGGGAGGCAATTCTGAAAGAACTGAGGAGCATGATATTCATTCTCAGAAGGTTATCAGAAAGAACAATACAAATGCAGAAGAACGTTCAGCTGTGTTTTATAGACGACGCAATGACGTTCGACGAAGTATGCAACAAAGTTTTGTAAGAGCTGCTCAGAAACCTAGACATATTCGGGAAAGACATTAGAATAATAATCATCATCATCATCATCTTGCGGCCTCAGCCGAGATTGAACTCACTACACCTCTCCAGTATTCCCTATCCGTCATAGCACCTAAAAGATCTTCCTTAGGGATCAATGTGTCACGTTTTATCCTATCTGGAAAGGTTAACTTTTGTGATCGATTGACAGATGATGGGTGCCTCCAGAGTACAAATGATGACACAAGTTCATCTGTGGCACGTGCACAATGCCCGGCGAACTGGACACGTCTCTTACAAACTAAAGTTGATACTCTCGGCAAGTCTCCATATATCATTTCTAGAGTTGGATGGTTTCGCCATGAGAGATTAAGCACTCTTCTTAAAAGACGTGTATAACATCCATCTAAACGGCGTTGTTGTTTTGCTGAGAGATTCCAAATTTCAGAGCCATAGAGTAAGATTGGCTCAATAAGTACGCGGAAAAGTTGGATTTTGAATTGACGAGCAAGATTGGATTTCCAGATCTTATCCATTTTGTTACAAGCAGTCCATGCTATACCTTTTCTAATGTTGAAGTCTTTCTCAGAGTTCTTGATGTGTGATCCTAGATACTTGTAGTCTTCGACACAGTTGACGATGTTATCTGAGAGTGTTTTGATCTCATGATTGTTGCAAATGTTAATTGGCATACACTCAGTTTTAGTTTCATTTAGGTGTAGACCTGCACAGTTAGCTGCTGATTCAAGAGAAGAGAGGAGTGCTTGACCAGCATCAGAGTAGATGCCATGAAAAAAAAAATAATAGAAAAGACATATTATTATTAGAATAATAGATGACCGCTACTGACAGCAAACCACCAGCATAAAGATGAAAATGAGTTAAGTAGACATACAAAAATAGAAAGGAACAAATTGCGGTGCTCATACACATTTCCTGTTGAGTGAAATGATTCTCATGTTGTCTGCAGCCACAGCATGGTCGGGTAGAAAGGCTTAGGGGATGGAGAACTGAAGCCTTTATTTGGCTTTTCTTCGTCTCTTAAATTTGTCTTCTGAAGTTTTCGAAGGATATTTTGTTTTCATGGAGAGCTCTTGGTTCTTTTGAGAAGAAAAAATCTTTGAGAATCAAAGGCTTGGCTGCGAATCGTTTGATGGCACACATACTTCAGCTGAGAGCATCCGCTGCCGAAACCAGGTAATTTCATAATGTCAGCCTGCATCAGGCTTGTTCTTGTACGTAGAATACCCTGATTGGGTCAGGGTCGACCTGGGAACACCTGCAATTAAGAGGTGATTCTACGCTTTTCAAAACCTCCTGATCAGAGGCATGCTGTTGAACGTAGTTTAGCGTCTTGCCCAGGACGTGAATGTAGTTTATCGTCTTAACCAGGACGTATATATACGTAGTGTATCAAACATTTTTACCAAATTTGTGGGCAGTTTCCTCACACCAAACCAAAAAGTCCATATAAACATATATATGCAAATACATCGTTTCTGAGTTATTAGATTTATAGAAAGTTTACAGTATATGGCGCTGTGTGGACATGTGGACTTGGTTACATTTGTCATTCGTGTACATTTGTGGTTAGTCAGTCGTCAAAGTTTAATATATCTGGTAGCGAGGTGTTCCGTTTAACAGTGGCAATTTTTACACACAGCCGCGTAAAAGTAATACAGCGATAATGAACAGGCAACCACCCCTTGTCTGGATGAATGGATTTCTCTGTATCCTTGGATTATCCGTGATTTATGAATTTTTGCAGTGCCTTTAAAACCCAGTAATTTTAAAAATAAGTTACTCCAAAATTCGCTTGAGGATGAAATGGAACTAATGTCTTTAATTCAATTACAAAATTACATAAATTACAAAATTAAATTCGAAGCTTTTCGCTTCCATTTTTGAAACATGGTTAGAACTGTGCAGCGAAAAACATATTTTAAATCAGTTAATTCATAATATATATATATATATATATATATATATATATATATATATATATATATATATACTAGGAGGTATACACAATTGGTCGATCAAAAAAGCCTTCAATTAGAATGTAGCAAAAAACAGCATCATGTTTAGAAGCAGCAGAGTCTATCTTCTTCAGTTACTTTAAAGTACTTTCATTAAAAAACATTTTGAATTAATGCAGTTACTGGTATAACAAAAGTTGTTTGTATTTATTCAATCGAAGTTAGCCAAGGGCAGAAGGGGTAAAACAGGCAACATTAAGACCCATTTCAGACAACAATTATTTTGGAGCTTTTGAAATTCAGTTTTTCAGTGTGCTACGAGGGATATACATGAGGATACACTTATGAATCAATTAAGTTTGATTGAAAGCTCAACGAAAAATAAGAAATAAATAAGTAAAAGTCGCCATTTTTCGCAATTTATGCAGTTTAACGCCATATGGGTGGACTCAATGATCAAATTAAATGACTGTGAAACAATTAACTTATTGTTGGCTACAATTGAGTTGAGTTTGTATGAGGGTGTTTTTAGTTTAAAATTTGTGTTTTTCGCTAAACGCAGTGGTGTAGAAATACAAATGAGGAATTATTGAGCTCGACATGATTAAAGTAACCTACATACCGAGTTTGAACGAAATCGGAGGAAAAAAGTTGAATAAAATGCATCATATCCTTCATATTATACAGTCTATTTATATTTCTGTTTTCTCTATCATGCATTTATCTCGTGCAACATTCTCACATCTCCTTATTCGAGTCTTTTCACATCATTGTGTCCGGAGGTGTCGCGGCTTATCTCTCTATCTATCTATCTATCTATCTATCTATCTATCTATCTATGAGCTGTCAGGACGTTTTCAATCCTTCTTTTTTTATTATTTTACTGGCCTAACCCTCAGACCATACATCCTTTCATTCATTCATTTTTTTTCTTTCTTTCTTTCTTTCTTTCTTTCTTTCTTTCTTTGTTTCTTTCTTTCTTCTAAAGTCTGTTCTTTCTATCTAAGTGAGAATGTTCATATCTATCTATCTATCTATCTATATATCTATCTATCTATCTATCTATCTGAACATTTTCAAGTCTCTTCTTTGTAGTATTTTACTGATATGGTCATCAGTATTTTCAGCCATACTTCCTGTCATTCATTTTTTTACTTTTTCTTTCTTTTCCAAAGTTTTTTTCTTTCGATCTATCTATTCATCTATTATCAACGTTCATATCTATCTTCTTTCTATCTATTTTCTATCTATCTATCTATTTGATAACAATTTCATCAGTATTTTCTATCTATCTATCTATCTATCTATCTTCCTGTCATTCATTTTTTTTACATTAATTTCTTTTTTTTCTTCAAGGTCTCTTCTTTTTCCTTTCTATCTATCTATTCATCTATCTATCTTCCATTATATCTATCTATCTATCTCTGTCCGTTCATATCATCTATCTATCTATCTATCTATCTCTGTCCGTTCATATCTATCTAACTATCTATCTATCTATCTATCTATCTAATGAACATTTTTGTTTTTTTTTAGTATTTTTATTTTACAGACCATACTTCCTTTCTTTCTTTCTTTCTTTCTTTTTCTTTCTTCCAATGTCTTTTCTATCTATCTATCTATCTATCTATCTATCTATCTATCTATCTATGTTTGAGATTATTTTTACGCTTATATGTTTGGCAAAGTAATGAGTTTCATATTTGAACGAATATTTTTTCACCTTTCATTAAAAAATTACTATCGTAAATATAGAGCTTAATTAATGCAACAGTAATTAACAACAACGTGTTTTACCAAAAAGGAAAAAAATAATTAAATGAAAAATCGTGTGTCTTAATTATCTCAGAAGGGAGTAAACATGTTTCCGCAAGAAGCAAGGGAAGAAAAAAAAAACTCCTTCCATTCTTGAGGTTAAATAAGTCTACTTAATCAGATCCTCATTTTTACGATTCCATCGAATTTCAGCATTAAACTGAATTAGCAGCTTTTAATCAAGGTCAATATGATGTGCAATATAATCGTCTTAGAGACAAGGGAAATTATAATCTATATTAAAGAACGGGACTATATAATATGCATAAAAACAAAAGACTACATAATCTGTGTTAACACACGAGGCAATATAATCTATAAAAATACATGGGGCAATATAATCTATATGAATACAGAAGATTATATAATCTATATAAACGCACGGACTATATAAACAATATAAACACACGAGCTTATATAATTTATATAAAGAGACGAGACAATATAATCTATATAAACACAGAAGATTATATAATCTAGATAAACACAGAAGACTATATACTCTATATAAACTCCCTTGTCTATAGAAACAATATAAATACACAAGCCTATATAATCTATAATAACACACGAGCTTATATAATCTATATAAACATACGTGTCTATATAATCTATATAAAGGCACAAAATAATATAAACTATATAAACACAGAAAACTATATGATGTTTATAAAAGCACGGGCCTATATAAACAATATAAATACACGAACCTATATAATTTATATAAAGACACGATACAATATAATCTATATAAACACAGGAGACTATATAATCTAGATAAACACAGAAGACTATATACTCTATATAAACGCGCAGGACTATAGAAACAATATAAACACACGAACCTATATAAGCTATAATAACACACGAGCTTATATAATTTATACAAACATACGTGTCTATATAATCTATATAAAGACACGAGACAATATAAACTATATAAACACAGAAAACTATATAAATATAATAGCCTATGTAAACAATATAAGCAGACGAGACTATATAAAATATATGAACAGAAAAGACTATATAATTTATATGAACACTCGAGTTTATATAATCTCGATAAACACGTGAGCCTATATAAACTATAAAAATATGACGCTATGTGATCACATACTTCGGATTAATTTTATTCACTTTAGAACAAAGCTACTGTAGGCGAGTAGGTTTGGGGGTTTTCTCCGAATGTGGTTTGCGGCAAAATTAGCAATAACGATGCAAAAGAGTCTGTATCTGTGTTTTACATATTATGCAAATGCGTCTAGTAAAGTATGTCAAAAAGAACTATTAGGACTGCTAGTTAGCCTTGAGATATTTGCGAAGGATATTAGAATAACCCAGAACTTATATTAACAAAAGAAATGCCTGCGTACGAATAGAATATTAATTGAGTCAGTATACTAAAAACGGTTTGTGTGTTCTGTAACATCTGTTATATCATCAGCCATGATGGATACAAATGAAACTTCCGTAATATCTCTTCTTATCACTTCCTGGTATATTTCTAGCAGCCAAGTCCATTATCTCATTCTGAATGGTCTTAGGAATACCTTTTGTTATGGGACCTTACCCATAATAACATATTGGACTATTCCATATCTAATAAATACTGCACCTCAAGAGGAAACAGAGAGTTCAGTCTGAAGTCTAGAGTGAAATCCGTCAGGAGTCTGTCAGTCAGTCAGAGCGAGCGAGTCAGTCAGTCGAGTCAGAGGCAGTCCGAAACAGAATCGCGTTCAAACAATTACTACTAAACCTAATTGTTCGTACTAACACTTTCTACCTCTCTGTATATATTCCTGTTTGTAAAATATCTGTGTTATTCCATATCCGCCTTCGACTATCACCATGGGACAAGGAACCGGACCATAACACCTTTGAAAACTGTTGTAATGGAATATCCCCTATCGCTTATTGTTGACTGACTATATCAGTAGATATGTATAGTGTGCACAGGATATACCTGGTCGACTTGCTTCGGGCAGAGAGGACCCCAGGCGAGGCTATGCTGAAGGGCAGGGGCTCGATTGGAGTAGTAGACAGCTACCCGACCCCGTTTTTTACGGGGAATTTTTGGCCGAGTCTACGGGCTCGGATACTCCACGTTAAATTCGGCCTTGCCACATCTGACTGCGTGGGGCGGTTGGCAAATATCCATGATTCATCTACAGCTGTGGTGGTCGAACTCTCTGCCATCGGGCAGAGAGGAACCCAGACGAAGCTATACTGAAGAGCAGAGTCTTGTCTGGGGTGGTAGACAGCTACCCGACCCCGTGGATATGGATCTCGGTTTTTGCCCCGCATTAAAATACGGCCTTGTGCCACATCCTGCCTCACGGGGAGGTAAGGTAAATATCCTTGCTTCAGGAATTACTAGACTGCTAACGAATCCGTTTCTTTCAGTAGTGTATTCTCTTTTACAATAAACCTCTCTTTCATCTACGCCCGTGTTGCTGTTCCTTTCACTCGAGTACCACCTTTGGCTGTTTTTAACCTTCGTTAATGATATAACAAAAACCATATTGGTTTCTAAGCCTGAGCTTTTCTCAACACAATTTGAAGGTTGACTCTGAAGAAAATAGCAAACACTAGGCTAAGAGTAAACAACTTTTAAATAGTCAAATACCCTAAACATTTGGTAGCATTTAGATATGTCTTCTCACCGGAGTTATTTAATCTAACCAGTCAGGTTATTCTAAGAAAAGTAGATGTTCTACAAGGATTCATTATGGCTGGCAACTATCTTAACTGTGTAAGATATGCAGATGATTTTGTTTTGATAGCAGACAAAGAAACGTAACTAAAAGAATTCCTAAAGAAGGTAGTGAAGGAAAGCGAGAAGAAAGGACTAAATACCAATTGCAAGAAGACGAAATGGAAGTGTTATTACAGAGGACGGAATGGGTGACACTGAAATCAAAATGCGCATTGTGATAGCAAAAGATAACTTCGTAAATCTAAGCAATGCATAAAGAAACAGAAAAAATAAGCGTTAGCAACAAAGAAAAGAATATTGAATTATTATGTAATATCAGTCATTCTATATGACAGTTAAGGCTGGAAAATCTCCACACAGGTGGGGTGTTTAAGGGATGCACGGAGGAGTAGTGGATAGCGGATCGGATTGAAGAATCGGAGAGCCGAGTTCGAATTCCAGTCGAATCCATTACATTCACTTATGTGCTAATAACCTTGGGAAAGATATGACACCTCTTTTTCTCCCTCCAGCTATGGGTAAATAGAAGGACAGACTAGTTTCTAGAGCCTTGGATGACTACTGGTGTAAGAGAAGGGCAACTCTGGATTCAAAACCTGCGGAGGATCGTTTGTGGACCTTGTGACACGTAGTGCACCAGGTCTCTGTATTCGGACCTACAAAAAGTGTGGTTTGTTATACACAAGGCGTTCACCATTATAAACAAATCATATATGCTGGTTTCTGGTTGTCACTTCCTAGAAACTGGGTTGCTTGACGCACATGCGTCGAACACGATGGGACAGTCCACAATATATATATATATATATATATATATATATATATATATATATATATATATATATATATATATATACAGCATTGGCATGGCCCAGCGTTGCCCGTGCTTGATTCAAAAATCGTACGACTCACACAGCAATCGCTATCATTTGACTTAAAATATTTTTGCCCTTCCTGGCCTTTAAAGGAGTGCCCTTTTCCGTGCTGATGTTGCTACATGCCTTACTTCTTGCCTATCTTACACTGCGGTTTTTTTCTAAGCTCTATACTAAACATTAAATCTGTTACGAAAAAAGAACTAAACAAAATGAACACAAAACGATCAGCTTTAAAAAAGGACTCGTAACTGGAAAAACCGAATGAAAAAAGAATGTTAACAACAAATACTTTTTCACCCAACCCCAAAAATCCAGTTCTGCGGAATCAGAATCAACGTTGAGTTTAAGCAAGCGAATGAGCCAATTGGAGTAAAGTGCCATGCAGATTTAAATTTTTCCCACTTGTGACGAATGCAGCTATCGATTTTTTTTTTGCATGCTAGCATGCTAGTTAACATTCGTGTCAGTCAGGTGTTAGTTCTCACGCTGGCCAATAGAATCTTCCTGGCTATTCGTGGCAGCCAGCTATAGGCTCTCACTCTGGCCAGTAGAAAATGGCCGCAAACTACATGAAAACTGCCGTAGAAGCATGAAAAAATCGATTATTTCCACTATCGATGGGAGTTGGGAAATACAATGTCAGTCTTGGCCTTCCCGCTAACTTGTAGCATGTACATGTAAATGTTGGTGCAAATCCGTCGAAAATTGCAGCCGTGCATTCGTTACACACACACACACTTCCTGCCTTCTATAGATAGAGATTACTTATTTGTGATCTTCATATGTTTACATGTCAGTGGCAACACACTGATAATTATCGAAGGCCAGATATGCATCTGTGGGATAGGCGGATATCTTTCAGGGAAAACTGCAGATGCAACAGGTTTTTCTGCTGGATAGTGAATGCAAAATCTATTTTGCATCATCTGATATGACGCACATAATACAGACAAGGACTAATTTCAATACAAAACTAAATACCATACCTTACATAACATAGTTGTAAATAAAGTATCGTAAATAAGAATTCAGTTTCTTCTTCTTCAATATATAGTGTCTCTACAGGGCGTTGGTGATCATGGTTTTACACAATTTCCTCTCCCTTGTAGATTTTAATAAATGTTTTTTTCTGTCTGTCTTAAATCATTCACCATCACCCATTTGCTCAAATATGCAAAGTAGGCCTTTTTTTTTTTTTCATCTTTTCTGCTTGCTTTCAATCTATCCAGTGAGTGTCATATTTCCCAAGCCCACTTTCCTCATGATGCTCACAAGAAAT